AAAAAAAAAAAAAAAAAAAAAAAAAAAAAACACAAGTGTTTTTCATTAATTCTTCTTTAAATAGTTATTAGTAGTAGAGAAGGGATAAAAGAAAGTACGAATTCCCCTAAAAATAGACGAATTTAGACTTCTCATAGACCTCACCAGCTGCATTCGATGTATTCTTAAACTTACAATAACCTTTGATTTTTTAAGACTATTAGGGATCTCTGCAACTAATTTTTAAAGTAAAATAGTGTATACAATATCTTCTACATCGTGGTTGCCAAATTGACAAAGTTCTTACAAGCAGCTATTAAAGTTCCAGACACTGGTGGATTCCCTTTACTTCGCACTACCACATAAAAAGAAGATAAATCTAATTCGAGAGTCAAAAACTGCAAGTTTTGTTTACAAATAGATACACAAAAAACCTAGAATTTTCAAAGCGATCGTTGCACAAGCAAAATTAAAGAGAGCAACTCATACTTGTTAAGACTTAATATTTATTAACAATTTAAAGGACTACAGATGAAAAGGACAATAGCTTAGAGGCAAACTGGCTACTGTTGTTTTAGACGCATTAAAAGAAAATTTAAATTTACACATTGACGTTTTCAGTATCGCTTTCATTCGACACTAGATCCTCCTCGTCTTCTTCTTCTAATTCATCACAGTCTTTCCGTGTATTTCTTAACTTCTGCATAGCACTTTTTAAAGTAACAGCTGCATCTTTATCAAAAACACCTTCCACTTCTCCATTCGTTACAGAAATGTTTGACTTATTGAGTAACATGTACCTTTTATTCCTTAACATCTGATGTACGTACCGCTGCTTTTTGTCTCTAAAAGACATTTGCTAAAGCCGACTGAAAACACTTGTTATGCCAACCCCTATCATTCACTATAAAGAAGAGAGGAAAACGAGATAGTGCTAAGAAATAAAGAAACATATAAAATAAAAGTGAATATAAAAAACTTCAAAGCTGTCATAAAAATTTTAGCAATTTTTCGAAGGCGTACAGAATAAATAGGAGAATAAAATGGCCCAAGAAACGAGTGAAAAATACGCCTGAAGATGGCTGTCCCTTTTACTTTTCAAGTCACAAGTTAAAAAACGCTTTTCAGAATTCAAAGTAAAAAATAATAACTATCTACTTTTCTACAAAAAATGAACTCGCTATAAAATCCTATGCGAAATAAAACAAAAGTTAAAGTAAACCTTTCTTTCCAATCTTCTTGGTCAGGTGAAATGTATATTTTTGGAGTTGAAGCTTCGCCCCTACTTACATGAGGAATAAATTCACGCCGATTTGCTTTCTGTACATCTCCAGAATCAGGAGTACGTAACACCCCCAACAAAGAATCATCAGGATCAAATTGGGCCACAGATGGCATTTCCTTAAATTTTCATAACAGTACAGTAATGCGCAAGTAAGGAGTTCCAGGAAACATCAAGAAAATGTTGCATGTCTCTTAACGGTGTGATGCTATCAACGTATAGGTTTCTAGGCGTAGTAGGTAAGGGAGAAATCAAGCAAATATTAATGTTACTGTTTTGAAATTACAAAAGTATTGACAGATTTAGAAAAAATTACTGCGACGGCACTATAATCGAAGGTTTCTGTGGTAGGTTTCGGCTTCTGTTTCTCCGCCATAACAAATTTTCTTGTAAATCTTTGTGCATGCACAAGGTAAGAAAGTGAACCAACCTAAAAAAATACACCTTAAAAGTCACCAGGCTGCTTAACAAATAGTTCGAAGATAATTTACAATACTGTACCAACTTACTTCCTATTCATTTCCTACAAAAAAAGAAAACTGTGTAAAGGTCAGATCAAAAGTTCAGTGAAAAAAACCCAAAACTAAATTGTTTTTTTTAATCGTGCTAACTAGCGCGTTCAACGGGTGAAAATTAAATTATTTGTCTTTACTAAAAAATTACAAATTAGTGATTTTGCTTTTCTGTTTGATAGTAACAGGTGAGCTGATTTTACTTTTTGAAAAGAAGCTTTCAATTAACAAGAAAGAAGAACAAAAGATGAAGAAAAACAAACGATTTTTTTAATGCTTTCTCACATTCCTAATCTCTCAAAGTCTCAAATTATAATCTTAAATAATACGAAATTCCTACTTTAGCCCTGAACAATGCTCCAGCACACTCTTTCAGTTCAGTTTCATCTTCCATTACTTGTTCCCGCTGTTCCAAATAGTTAAGTTTTTTCGTGGCAACTTCACGGCATTCTTGAGCAGTACGTCCACCACTTAAAGCAGTTGCAACCTTCTCCCAGTCATCGTCGGAGGACGGTTTAATAGCATTTAAAGCCAACTAAGCAATGAGAAAATACTACTCTAATTTTCAAGTCTCAAGTACAACAAATGGTCAACTATAAAATTTTCAAAAATTCATTAAAATATCTGTTACCTTTAGCCTATCTAATTCCTCTTTCTTCCACTTTCTCGGAGCAGTCAAGTATTTGGTAGGTGAGCCTCCGAAGGCTTCGGTGTTAACTGCAGGACATGAAACATCTGAATCTTCAGTACCTGAAGCCGCTGCACACAAATCTTCATCATTGGGTACATTTCTTGCGCTAGTATCTAAAAAGTCGTACAAATGAAAAGATGGGATCAAACGTGCTATAAGGGACCTTCGTATTATGAGTTTAAGTAATGACTATTTAACCTAAAATTTAGTAAGGAAACCAACTTCTGTTTATTTTTTGTCGCTTTTTATATCTTCTCGTGTCTTTTATTTGCCATCTGTGATTCCTCCTTCTCTTCTTCTTTCTAACAAGTGCTTTTTTCGGCGTCCCTTCTTTCATTTCTGTTTCATCAGAAGATTCTACCTCGCGAAATCTGTTCTGAATATAAAATCTAACTCAAAAAAATTAAAATAAAGTTAAACTAGAAGAAAACAATTATCTCATAAAATCTGAGTATCCACGACTCAGTCAATAAAACCAACTCTTGTCCGATGTGGGTGTATTGGCGTAAGTATGTCACTGGCAGAATTAGACATAGCATTGTTGGTGAACCGTCGTTCTCCAAAATGTGACGTTCCAACACTTTTCTTCAAGCACTCATTCTGAGGCGGACTTTCTGGAGGAGAAACAGCCCGGTTATTAGCAAAAGAACTCTTAAAATTCGATCATTAGATGCATAATTCAAATATTTAACACGTGTGAAGTGGTTTGCCTACAGCATGAGATCTTGAAGAACAGGCTGATTCGGCAGATAATTTAGCTGTCCTAAGAGGCGAACCGCAGCCATCATAAGATGAATTCTGTACTAACCACGGGCGAACGAGTGGCTTGACCAATCTACCACTTCTCGAAACTCGCAACACGCTACCTAAACGCTTAGGAGGTAATCAGTCATTATAAAGAAGAAATCCCATCCTACCACTCCAATGATTTATCTCCTTAAGTTTGAATCAAAGAACGAAAAACAGCCAACTACCTGCAATCGACGAAGATCTCTTAGTATCTACAGGAACAGCAGTTCCTTCCTCACAGGTCTCAAAAGATCTTCTTCCTTTAACAAACGATGGCTGACTTGATTCCGTTCCTCTTTCTGGCCACCTACTTACTGTGATGAATGGCACCTCAACGTGCCTGCCTCTCTATAATAGGAATTAATTAGTACCAAAACTTCAAAAAAATTCTTTCTTAATCCAAATCCTGACTCATTAGCACCAAGTCACTATACTCCAGTGACTGATAAAGTCCTATGTGACTAAACATGGTTCCTTACAGCTACTGTTAGCCCACTCTTATTCAAAACAGACTTGCCTTTTTCGCAGCTTTCCTTATCCTGCCCCCTCGTCCAACCTCTTCGTCCTCCTCTTCATCATCATCACTGTACTCCAATTCAGTCAAAGTTGCATCTGACTCATCACCAGTATCAAGATCCAGAGGTAAGGGAAGTTGATTAATATCCCTTACTGTAATAAACGACCTATTATCGTTTATAATCCATTTATTCGAGCTACTGATAAAAATTTTCACGATAAAAGTACCACTTTCTTTCAAGTGCAAATGCGATTATCACCGAGACGAGGGGACCTTATTAATAATTACTAATATTTATTGAAATACAGTTTTAAGACAAAAAAGAAATTTGACAATAGAATCCAAGCAAAAAAAAGAAACCAAGAGACATACCTCTCGAATGTTTTTTTTTTACAAGCCTTTTTCGCTCTTTCACATTCTTCTCCCGGTATCTACTATTACGAACTGCCTTCTTCTTTTTCCCCTCCTTTATGGATTTCCCACCGTGGTGCTTCAAGCTTGAATAGTGTTCTTCAGGAGACGAATCAATTCTTCGAAGAGACTTCTAGAAATGCTCCAAATTGTCTTTCTTTCTTTTTCGTCAGATAAACTTGAACCACGCCAGCAAAATTAAGTTGTTAAAAGATAAACAAAAAGAAACTTGCCTTGTTCCTCCTAAAATAAAGTGGAGTCAATAAATCAGGCTCGATGTTAACAATATTGTCACCGTCCTCAGATCCAGAGCTTTCACTGTAGTCGACAAGGCGAAGTCTTCGCCGTTTTCTGACGCTCGTCCTTATAGATGTTAACAATCGCTTTTCCTTTTGCTGAGGGCTTTCAGCAGGAGATAAGCCAAGGTACGAAATAGTCAAGTCCTTAAAACTGATTTTTTTTTATTAAAAGAACCGTGACTCAAATGAAGAAGTATTTATTTCAAGAGTGTTAACTTAAATATAAAAATTACAAAAAAAAGCTACCGCATCTGTAGCATCTTTGGAAAGTACGGTTTCAGTTATGACCCCTTCCGCCCTTACAGGAGTGCCATGACAGTCGTACACAATTCTTTGCCCCAACCATGAAGCCAAGCGAGGCTTAATTACTCTTCCGCTGCGAGAGATACGGACTGCTTCAAATGCAATCTTGTTTTTAAAAAATGAGAGAGAAGAACGGTAACAAATAAGGTTTGTAGAATCTAATAATGCCAATGCTGTTTTCTACACAACTTCAGTGACCGTAAGACTAGCAACAAATCACCTACCGTCACCATCTCTACAACTCCCGTTAGAATCATCAAGTCTACTCATGCCTCTTGAGTTGTGTAAAACCAGACTGATATTCTGAAAAAGGAACAGAACCTCATGTTGCATAGTTCATTTATTTTAAAAAAAAAAACAAAAAAAAAGTATGAGCAAGGAGAAGATGCATGAAAACGGACACGTTTATTGATATATAGCACTGAATGATTCCCAACTGGCAACGAAACAAAGTACCCTTGTAGGTGCTACGGGCTAAGATTAGTAACGCAGAAGCTAGAAGCATTTTTTCAGTAGAGAATAAGAAAAATGACGAAAACTCAGTAGACCACATTGCAATATTTTTGATAAAAATTAGTGTGTTCCAAAAAAGCCATTGAAAATCTGATGAATTAACGTTTGCACCAAAGAAAACAGTTCCAAATCACCCTTGCGACAATAGACCCCAAAGTGTTAGTATGTCGATAAACTACTTTTCATAATACATTTTATATCTAGGTTGTCAGCACCATCAAATTTGCTAATTATACCAGTTGTAAGCGTCAAAAAACACGGTATCGTTCATTGAGGGCATCAACGGAAGCGTTCGTATTTGAAACACGCAGTTTCGCGCGCTTCTCAAATTTTCAAAAAATTGGATTTTGACAAACGTTACAACCACAAACTATTCAAATCCACCGATGCAAATATGTTGCCACATGTACAAAAGTTGAGCTCCGATTTAGCAGTTGTCACATACTCATCACCAGTTTCACACATCTGTGACCGTCGTGTTTAGGTGAGGTTCTACTCGGAGCAGTTGATGAAATTGCAGTTTTGATCGTTAGGAAGCTTATACACATGTGATGGTATGATGTAACAATTTCAATAGCATGGGCAGTTGCTAGATGCGTAAAGAGCAGATATGCCTTCATTCGACTTTTGCTACTTTTTACTACGCAGGTTTGTAAACTTCACCACTCTACCAAAGAAACAATTGAAGAAACAGTCTACGACAGTCAGTGTGATGGAGAGTTACTCTCTCCAGAGGAATGTTGTTTGAAGGTTCACCGGTTCTTTTAGTTAGTGCCGCTTCTTGCGTTCTGTGCAGTTGCTTTTGCTGGCCTTTGTAGGATTGAGCCCTCTTATAGTACTTTGTGGCTAGAATGGAAGCGAAGGAAATTTGTTCAATCGTTTAGTTTCTCATAAGTAACTTTTTCTTCCAAGACGTACGCCCCGGAAGTTGTGCTTTAGTAGTCTGCAAAAACGCATCATCTCAGGACTTAAAATTCTGTCGTGTTTTTGAAAAATTTGGAAGTTGATTCCCCTGAACAGTTGCGTTACGACAGCATGCTAACGGCCACCTCAAGCATTGCCTGCAGTCACCATTGATCTGTTCTTGGGATGAGCTCCAGGGATGCAGACAGTTGGTAATTGCTACCTAAATGTATCTTTAAGCAATAAAGACAACAATTAAATCAGTTTTTCTTAAGCCCTTATCAAAGAGTCACTGTCTTTCAAAGTTCGGCTCCTGTGTGTGTTATTCTTCTTTCAGTCGGTTTTGGGCTTACTCCATAATTCATATATGTTATGCTTCATAATACGTGCCTCGTGAGAGCTTATAGGGCTGTTGATCAGTATGATTATTTGTTTGTAGCAAATTTTCTTATTGTTTTACTTATCTATTTGTTTTGTTTGGTACTCAGTAATTCTTTATTATATTATGTAAAACTCAAGGCAAGTGTTTAAGGACTCTGTTTATTATATTTTCAGGTGTAAATACCTTAAATGTTCCTCGTGTTGGAAGGTATTGAAGCAATAAAGGGTTATTTATTAAGTAGTTGTTTAATGTCTCAAAACTTCAGTATTCAACTAGATTCACAGTCACCAGTAACATTTTTTGCAGTTACTTCTCTCAGTTGTGTTGGTTTGGTTAGCGTCAGTAACTACGTTTAACTTATAGCGGTCAAGAATAGAAAAAAAATTTCCATAGAGGCATATATAAAGGAATTGCAGCTCTCCAACTTAGGGAACTTTTTGGTAGTTGCGGCAGATTATGTTCTTTTAAACTGTAGTTTCCACAGCAACGTTTTTTAAATGCAACTTTCCCCTGTGTTACTCTTTCCCAAGATGCTACTCTGGCTTACTGAACTTAAAAGAAACGGACAGAAAGTTGATGCCGTCAAGGGTGGCTGAAAGTAGTATAGATTTGTGAATTTGATTTTAGATGAAACAGTTTTGTTTAGCGGTTTGAGAGAGGGATATAGTAAAGATGACAACTAGAAAAAAAAAATTATTTTCACCGTAATTGA